CAAGGTAATCCAGTCCCTTGCCACACTCTACATACACATGTCCTCTGTCTTAAGTTCATCACAAACCTAAATGCATTGGTGCAGTTCCCCTTGGCACATACTTCTGCAACTCCATCACTTTCAGTAATGACATCACTGTCTAAGTTGTAGCTATCCTTCCTCAACTTCTTAACAATGTGAGGTAGGATCTTCCCTTCAAACTTGTTTGCAACTTTTTTCCTCATATTTCATTTAATCAACAACTTCTGCCTAAAAGTATCCAGCAAGTCATCAAGGTGCTTGCCTTTGTCTTTCTTTATCCACTTGTTGAAGGACTCTGCCAAGTTGTTTGTTACATAGTCAACCTTGCTGCCAAATAGGTACTAGCTCCTAGTCCACAACTTCTTGTGAGTCTATAATAGATACTTCATAGCCTCTGGTTTGGCTTTAGCCATTACATTTTAATGGATGTCAAACCAGTACTCAGACCAAGAATAACAAGCTGCCCAAAGATGATCATCAAAAATTTTGCCATTGTATCTCTTCTTAAAATTCTATACAAGGTGGTACATGCACTCTCTATGTTCTGCTTCTAGAAAAACCTCACTGACCCCATGCATCACTGCCGGTCCACAGTCTGTGCTTATGCAGAGACCATCTGGGGTGCCTATTGCTTCTTTCAGCCTCTCCATAAACCACACCCAGTTCTCATTGGTTTCCAAATCTATGACACCTACAGCAACCGGATACATCCAGTTGTGCCCATCAACTGCACATGCTATGCACAACTGCCCCCTGAACCTACCATACAAGAAAGTGCTATCTATTGCCAAATAGGGCCTACAACCACTAAGGAATCCATCAACACAAGCCTTCATTGAAAAAAAGCCTGTTGAACCTGAGCTTGTTGTTTATTATGTGGTTATCAATCACAACCATTGACCCAGGACTCTCATTCTCTATCTGTGCCTTGAATCTGTACATGTTGTCCATAGCAAGGTTCTTACCATAGTACACTCTCATGTAGGGCATCTCCACTTTGAAATAATCCTTGAGTTTCTTAATCGACTCAGTAGTACCCAAAGTCCCATCTTCTTTCAGCCCGTCAATAACTCTGTCACAAACCCAATACTTGGTGCAGCCTACAGGAACACCAGTCCTCTTCTGGCTCTGACATTCATGGATAGATGGATTCTTCTTAACCTGCCAATGAAAACAACATGCAAACATCAATGAAAACAAAAAGTTTGAATATATAACAATGAAAGCACCAATTAGAACTTAGAAGAGGAAATCACCTGAATTGTTTTGCCATCCCTCATGGTTGATGCATGGATTCTCCAAGGGCAACCTTCATTCCTCCAGAGGCAGTATATTCGGTACCTTCCTGTATCACTCTTCTGAATGAAATATCGATTCTCTTTTATTGCAGCATGAGTAGCTAAAGCCATCTTAAATTCAAACATGTCTGGATACATGCTTCCAACACACATGGGGGGTTCTTTTTGTCATACTCAAGAGGTGCCATGTAGTCAAGCTCATGGTCCTTAACCATTTCATCTGCCTCATCAGGGTTCATTTCAGGATCAAACTCATCATCAGACCCTGAACTAGCATCACTCTCAGTTTTAGATTCAGCTGGCTTTGGACTATCACTCTCAGTTTTAGATTCACCTGGCTTTGGACTTGGACACCTTTCAGTGGTGGCAGTTTGGATCTGATCTTCTGGAGGTGTTGGTTGCTGTGGCTTTGGAGGTGGTGGAAGGTCAAGGTATAAACCTTCATCATTAACACCCATATGCTCATTCTCTGGGTTTGGGTTTGTCAGAATGTCATCATCTGCACATGTTGTGCTCTGTGTCTGGGTTGATTCTACAATGCTAGGAGGTGCATTGGAAGGACAGGCAATGGAAGGAGTGGCCATTGAAGGAGTGATGGGTGGTTCAATAGATTGCTCAGTAATTGGATCCCAAGAAGAGATGACAGGAGGCACAGTGTTGGGTTTATAGTAGGCTAAACTCATCCAACAATACTTGGAAGCTTTATTTTTGGCAAGCATTTCAACTAAGTCATGGTCATTGGTGAGGGGGATGTTCATCTTTGTGTCATGGCACCAGTAAAACACACTGAAAATATCCCCATAGCGCCCGGGATACTTATCTACAATACCTTCAACCACATTTCTGTAGTTTGCACGATCAGCATCCACAACTTCACTCACGCCATACCACTTCCCCCCACGCATATTTTCAGCAATAATCCGAAACTCTAGATTGTAGCTACTAATTGGGTCCATCCTACAGATAAACAACAACAATCACAAAGGGGGAAACAAACTAGCAAGAGCAAGCAACAACAATCCTAGCTCTCCACAATCACCACGAACAAGCAAGTGAAGGAGAAGAGGAACTCACCCGTCTCGAAACCATGAAGGGCGCTCGGCCGCCGCCATGTTCGCCGCCATGCGCCGTCAATCCGGGCTGCCCACGGTACCTCCCTTGCTCCACTATCCCATGCCCCGCCGCAACCAGGGATGGGATTCTTGTCTCCCCTCAGCCGCTGCAGCCCGCTGACGCTCAGTCGCCCGACGCCACCGCTTACAATCGCTGCTAGGGTTTGTGTTTCGATGATGGGATAGAGGGAGCGGAGGAGTCGAGCGGAGGAGTCGAGCCAGATAAGGAGAGTGAGAGCGGTCAATATCGGTCAACACGGCCTCCACCTCTCATTCCAACGACAAGGGGCAACTAAGGTCATTTGCCACAGCGGACCCCACTCATCAGGACAGCCAAATGGTGCAAATCAAACAGAAGGCAGACAGAATAACGTGAGAAAAAAAAGTTTTTCGATATTGAACACTGACGATAGATCGAACTTTTTAGGGACATAGATAATTAGACATTTTTTTTAATGACATACAAGCAAAAGACTCTTCACTTTTCTCATCCTGCCGTCCCATTCCCATCTCTCCCTCCCGTCGGCGAAGCCTTCAGCTCCCGTCGCATCTCTCTCCCTCTCCCTCTCGTCGGCCAGCAGCAGAGCACCTGGGCGTGGGTGGCGAGCGCGCGGGCGGGCGGCACGGGGCGCCGTTTGGCGAGTACGCGGCACGGGGGCCGGGCGGCAGGCAGCGGCGAGCGCGCAAGCCCCCACCCACAGACGACTGGGCCGGCCGTCGCTGCTACTTTGGCCCCTTCGCCGGCGACGAGCACCAGCAGGTACGCCCTCCCCTTGGTCTTCCCTTCCTGCTGTGCGAAACCGTGTGCCCAAGCCCTAACATACTATTCGTATTCGGATCTGAATCTAGTTACAAGTGTATATGCATGTATTATGCCTACTAACTTAGATGGCTTTGTTTTCTTTGTTCAATTGGTTGTACATGTGTACACCAATGTCCTTCACTGGATCCGCCACACTAATGGATTTGTTTTCTTTGTTCAATTGGTTCAAGCTGAGTACAGATGTGTGATGGATTCCATAAATCAACATGACCACGTGTGATTTGTGAACTCATATATCCATTAGTTAATGCTTAAAAACAAGTGATTTGTACTTGAGTATTGCAGTAGGTGTAGCATGATAATATATGTGGTTTGTAGTTCAGTGTTGCAGTTGGTGTCACATACTCACATTACTACGTGACTTCGATTTGTGATTCACCTTAGCGCATGACTTGGTAGCATTTTTGTTGTCCTTTCACTGTTGTATTGTAGATGGATAATTTGTGTAAGACTCACTGCTAGTGCTAGTAGGAAGCAAAGGAAACTTAATTAGAAAAGGGCAAGATGATTTAGTTGCTAGATTTGTGATGCCAAATATGGGTGTGAAAGGAACTTTAGGTGTGCAGGTATAATGGTATATATATTAACAGGGCACCAATGCAGAGCTTGCACTGGCTTTGCTAGGACCTTAATCCAGCAAAGTCATAGGAGCAAGGAGATATGGCTATAGAAGTGAGGATTGATGGAAGTAGGATAACACTTAGATATTGTATCTGAAAAGGTTAGGGTAATAATCGATAAAAGTGGGAATTGATTCTTCGATTTCATTTTCCTTTAGGGTAGTTTCAATCCTATTGTTGAAGCAGTTACCTTTCATATAATGGTGATTAGTTGCAGGGGTAAAGCTAGGCTTTATATGAAGGATGAAGGTTGTGCACAGTATATGGCAAAAAATAGTCTGTTACTAGCAGAAGGATTTCTACTGCTGTGTATGTGTATGTGCACCACCATATATGATCCTTGTTTCACCCTGATCCTAGTTACCTTTTGTGTATTCCCTGGCACCCTAGACTTTCATAGCACTAGTAACTTCCCGTGAATGGCACAACATATGTTCAGTCTATCATCTGCCAGAAAATTCCTGCACCGGACACCAATTGCAAACTCACATAGATTTGAGGTGCATTTGTTGGGGGCTGTTAAAGGTTTTATATTCCATTCTGAGTGGTGAGCGCAGATCACTTGATTAGTAGAACTATAAACGAGTTATGAGTGTGCCCCTCTTGGCAAGCATGTCACAGTATCCACCATCTCTGCAAATTGATATCATTCGACTAAACCATTTCTTTTTAACACAAGAAAATCCAACTCTATAGACGCAAAACATAAGTGTTCCAGAGTTCTTGATATAAAAGTTTCTTGATTAAGAACAGCACAGGGCTCACCCAAACTAAAACTCCCTGACCTCGCAGAACCGAGATAACATAAAGTTGCAGCTAAAGGAAGTCCTTAGCACAAGTTCATCAGGCGTAATAATTCAGTGGCTCTAGGCACATAGTTCCAGATAAGACTACTACTGATGCAGAAATGTAGCTTTATGTGTCTTTGGTCATCTATAATCATTTGTTCATTACATGTTTTAAATGTATAATTCCATCCTTGTGCAGCTAGGATATTGGGTGGCGTTAAATTTTTCTGATAACCTGTTTATATGTTGAATGTTATTTCATCCTAACTATCTTTATTGTTCTTTTGTTAGCAACCTCTGAAGTTGTCCGAGGGAAATTTTTCTAGGTGCTGGTTGGAATGGCGAGTACAGCATGCTTTGTGATTGTCAGTAAGAATGACATCCCGATCTATGAGGCAGAAGTTGGATCTGCACCCAAAGTATGTACCTTGAACTTCATGTACTTCCTATATAATAGGTTCAGATTACAGTTAGCTATCTGGCATCTCTATAACATTGCATTTTTCTCCAAGATATGCACTATTTCACTCTGTTGATATGATAAAGAAACTCTGATGTGGAAATACTAAATGGTCAATAGATTGACTTAGTCATGTTGGATCAGGCTCTTCATATCTGTCCCTACTAATTAGTTTATGTTGAATCAGGCTCTTCATATCCATTCCTACTCAGCAAAAACTAAGATGTTTAATGGGATGGTTTACTTCCCAAAAGTTTCTTCTGTTGAGATTAAAACTGTGATGTGCCTCACAGTATACAGATATATAAAATTTGTAGTTTTACTTTAGATCCTTCATGGCAGGGATTTTCTTTATTTGTTTTGTTTTTTGAGCAGCATATCCATACTGAATTACTAAGGTCTATGCCTAATCTTGCCATTTACTTTCTGTGGTAGAAAGAAGATTTGTCTTATCACCATCAGTTTATCCTGCATGCTGCATTAGATGTTGTTCAGGACCTAGCATGGACCACAAATGCAATGTGAGTATTTTATTGGTTTTGTATTTTGTTGTCGGCTGTGGGCAAAGAATGACATCACATCCCAAAGTTATTCTTCTAGCATTTTATATACAGTTTACCTCGCCTAGAAACTTTTGATTTTTTACATATTCTTTTTTTCCAGGTTCCTGAAGTCAGTTGATAGATTCAATGACCTTGTGGTGTCTGTTTATGTAACTGCTGGTCATATCCTTTAAAAAGTGCTGATGACAGTTGTTTTGTTGTTTTAAATGACATTTGACTATGTATCATTATGTTCGGTTTACAAAGTTTGATCGTATATAGCAGTATTATATTTTCTTTAACTGCAACTATGACACATACCAGATTCATGTTGCTTCATGACTCACGTAGTGAAGATGGAATAAAAAGCTTTTTTCAAGAGGTCCATGAACTTTACATCAAGGTAAGATAATCACTGCTAATCTACAATCAGGAGACTTCCCCCCACTGTATTCTAGAGTGCTAAGTGCTGGACCCAAGTATGCATTCATAAGTAGATCTTTGTACATGATATTCAATTTTGGTGCCTCTGTTTATTTATCTTGTTCTTTGTGGCACACATCATTTTCGATAGTACTAGGCATCTTTTGCTCTCCTTTTTATCTGAAATTTTCATGAAGATGATGGCGCTAGTTTCGAAAATTGCATGGATTGCTTCTTCTTCTTTTTTTTATTCTGTATCTTTTGATGCTGATGTATCATGTATGGTTATGCACGGTTCATCTGAAATATGCATCAACCACATTCTAGATTACAAATTTGCCCTACTCCAACTTACAATTCTCTGTTTGGTTGTATAATATACAGTAAGTTTGTTTGCTGTCGTGCAGATATTCCTCAACCCGCTTTACCTGCCCGGCTCTCGCATCACATCCTCTCATTTTGATACCAAGGTCAGGGCCCTCGCAAGGAAGTACCTGTAATACGGGCATGGAGGGTTTTGTAAGCTTTGCATCGTAGCGTAAAAACGCAGGCAGCAGAAGCAGCAATATATATCACGCTAGCGCCATTGTGTCATCATCACTTGATCGCGAGCAATGCCAAAATGGGATGTTAATGACTTTACTATTGCACAACACATAGGTCCAAGCTTCCTGTAATTTTTCTTGGCGTTGGCTTGTTATGACCTATGAATCATTTTTTTCAGAACAAAATGACTTCCGAGAATTTATTTCTTGCAATTCAAACATTAATGGATTGTGTTGTACATGGCAGATCTATAAAAGGGTGTTATCTCCTTGTTGCATGGAAGCATTACAGTGATTCTCTATCTTTGCCCTATTCATCGGTTGATACAGAGGCACAAGGCTGTGCGAATTTCGCTTCCCTTTTTACCACTTCCTTTGTTTGATATCATGGCACTAGACGTGTATCTGTGCACTGTGCAGGGAGATTACTAGAATTAGATTTGATGAATGAAGTGTATCAGTCCACTAGAGACGCGCTGTGTATGATATATGGCCCTTTGCTCCAGGTGTCCTTTGCATAAAGGCGGCATGTCCCATTTATGTACCGGTGATCACTTTCCGTCAAGAACAGCAAAGGGAACACTGACGACCCATCTGGCATCAGCACAAGACTCGCCGGATAGATAGATGAAGATGATGGATAAGGATTAAGGAAGCTAGCTAGCGTGGAGACTGACCATTGGCACGACGGTTTCACGTGGCTTGTTAGTTTGGAATTCAGGCGTTGAAACGTATACCTGCTGCATGCGTGTCACTGCATCGACGTTCGGTCTCGTTTGGTTTGCCGAAGACGGCGTTTGGTCTTACTCGGTTTGGTGAAGACGGCGTTAGGTCTTATTCGGTTTGATGTAGATTATATTGAAGGTGGATGGATGGGAAGAGGATTGAAAGAGATTAAATCTTGTACTCCCTCTGTCCCAAACTAAGTGTCGCTATGATATCTGTGTCGTTATGGTGGTGGAGAGTGCAGCCAGTTCAGCTTGGGGACGCAGGTGCGGCAGTTCCGGCACTTCAAGTCCCGGACGGCGGATCTCCTCCGGCTAGGACTCGGCCGGCCCAGCATCACCATGGAGGAGTTTGAGAAGACATCGGCAAGAACGACATCCAGGCCGCCTTATTCACCGCCAACTTCTCGCCAAAGCGGCATCCTGGAGAGCATCGTCCCGACCGTCCATCGTAACACGGATCAGAAACGCTCTCACGGTACCCGTCCCTCTTCGTCTGTCCACCATGCATGGCAATTGGCACCAAACGCCTGCCTTGCTGTACGTTCTGCGTTCGTCGCCACGCTGATTCGTACGTACATTTTTCGCATGCACGCAGATGGTGCACGAGGCCGGCGAGCGCAAGTTTGTGGTCTACTACAAGACTACAACACGGGGCCCCTGGGGTGCCTGCCCAGCACGCTGGCGCGGCGACGCGGCGGCACCGGCAAGCTCGACCGCGCGGGCCGCAACCGCGCGCGTAGCCAGGGCCTTCAACACGCGGCTCGGCCGCCTCTGCCGCGACCTGCGCGCCGAGCTTGCCAACTCCACCGTGGTGTGCGTCGACATGTACGCCGTGAAGTACAAACTCTTCGCCAACCACACGGCGCACGGTGAGTGAGACCGAATGAAGCCATGTACTAGTGTTTCTGTTCAGGCTCCGGTGAAGTTCAGAAGCTTCATCTGTCTCTCATGGTGGTTTTGGTCAGGGTTCAGTGAGCCGTTGACGGCGTGCTGCGGCAGCGGCAACGCACCGTACAATTACGAGGCCGGGAAGGCGTGCGGGAGCCCCAAGGTGAAGGCGTGCGCCGACGGCGACCGGCGCATCAGCTGGGACGGGCTGCACTACACGGAGGCGGCCAACAGGATCGTCGCCGACAAGGTGCTTTCGGCGGAGTAGAGCGACCCTCCGCTTCAGCTGCAAACGCTCTGTGGCTCTCAGAGCTGAGCACGCAACACAATGTAGCAAAACATCGCATGCCACTTCATCCCGTCATTGCTGCAGAGGCTGCAACTAGCACGACGAACCTCTCAACTGCTGATTATCCAAGGAGTGCCTTCAACCACTGCTGTTGTATGGATAAGACCAGCTACTGAAGTAGTACGAACTAGCGGTCATAATCATGTTGGAGTTAGAAACAACGTTCAAAGTACATAAATGGATAGAATAATCATTCTCTTAACAGCAAAGTGAGCAACTGAGATGCAACAATACCAACAAGTAATAGTAACCAAAGGAAGACTCTTATTACTCTCTTCGCATTCTGCCCCCATGTCCCAGGAGTTACATTTAGGACTAAATCTCTAACCAGTACAAACAACAAAAGCCCTGATCCTGATTTCTCTAATAATTATTATTGCTAACACACCCATAAATCACCATAACTTACAGGATTGAACTACTTGTACACCACTTAAGTACATTTTCGACCAAGCAGCAGCCAAAAGTAATTGTACAACAAAAAACAGGACCATGAATGATCTGTCATGCGTCGCTGCGATCCAGGCATCCAGCGTGCCATAGAATTCCCAACAGCCAGCACAGGGAACTCAAAACAGCGACAATCCTTTGTTATTCGCGCGGCCTAGCAAGCCACAGAGAACTTAAAGCACGCAACCGCGAAAAGTAGTCATGGACGGCAAGAAGAGCACGAGAAGCCTGTCGTATCGTTAGAATGCGTTGCATTTGATGCAATGTCTGCTGTCTCAGGTTGTCGGCCTGCAGAAATAAAACAGAATTAATCTTCAAAAGTAATGCATCAAAACCAAATAAACAGTGCACAAGTGACAGCCTAAAACCACATAGATTGTTGAATGACAACATATCGCCCACAAGGATACAAAGAAGATGCTTACTTGGCGAAGAAAATTCTCGAGTGTCCCAAGTTTGCCCATGGCCATGGCCATCTGACCCATGTAGTTTGCCACATTTCCTGAAGAACCTGATGGACCAAGAGATCCAGCTAAAGTCTCTGCCAAAGATTGCTGCAGTGCTTCCATGCCCTGTGACAACGCATCCTCTGCTTGCTGGGAAGATTGCTGGAGGTTGTTCAAACCCAGCATTTGCTGCTCAGTTAGGGGCTCGAGGTGATTCGCTAGGAGCTGAAATTTTCCATTATGCAGAGAAATCAGCAATCTTACATTTCCAATGAGGGCACAGAAAAAAAAACAACAAAGCCTGCGAATGAATACTCTGCACACCTTTAAAAGCTCAGATGGACGAAAACCCCCAAGCCACAGGAAGCACCTTTCAGCAGGTGTCTTCCACATGCCTGAAAGTATATGAAATACATCAGCCTTTGCAGCAACACCTTTGACCTTGAATATTTCATCATAATGTGCCATTATGCCATCTACAATAAGTCGTAGATCACTGTCACTTGCATGAGCATTCACTGCAGTCCTCAACTCATTTATCTGCTTATTCTGGTCCTCTAGCCATCTAGCATATTCTATGTCAAAAGTCAATGCTCCTGCAACGAGAAGTTTATAATTTCAGATGCACTTCTAATGATAAAGATAGCACTCAATCAAGATAGATTAATTAAATCTAGAAACACATAGAGCCACACAGATATAACAAACTAAAACATTACCATTTCCACTCATGGCATGGGTTTGGTCTCCAGAGCTGGAAATGAAGATTCCCTGAAAGCAATATTCAAAGAGAGTCAAAATAACAGCACAAAGGTACTATTTTCCAAGCACTCAGTAAACATACATGCAACCAAGAAAGAGTTACCTGCTGGCGAGCTTTCTGGAGTTCCTGCTCCAGTTGTGCAAGTTTCAGCTTACTGCTCTCCAGCTGCTGCACATATGCCTTCACCAAATAAAAAAGAAACACGTTAGGCTTTTACTTTTTAGTGTCCTAATAAGAATTGAAAAGGAATAACTTGTAGAAACTATGCTACTCCTATTTAACACAATCGAATTGCATATGCATGGACAATTAAAAATTTAGTGGAGTCTGTATTACATGAAGAAGCAGTCTTTTGCCTGTTGCATTTGAGTCGAATCTTAAATGGCAATTTCCCATTTATTAAACATCACATAAAAGAAAACAGACTCATAATGACATGAAACTACAGTACATAACATGCAGTTCAGCATATCAGCAAAAATTAACATATAAAATTAGATAGCCAGCTTATTTTGGTTACATTACTACTAGTCATGTGTATTTCCAAATAATACTTTATTGAAGCTAAAAAGAACATCTCAATCTGTTGAAATTTAGTGATACCTTTTTCCTCAGCCGACTTTTTCTTGCTGCCTCACGATTCTGGGCAAGCCGTCGCATTGTCTAAGATATGAAAATTCACAAATGCAATTAATAACAGGCAATACAAGGTTAAATAAGAACTTGAGAAAAAGGAACCACGATATTACCTTTTGGTCCAAAGGTTTGTCAGACCTGTCAGACCTATCTGAAGAATTAGAAGGTACAACCGCACCACTTCCGTTCTCCATCTGTAAAAAAAAAAATGTTAAGCATAAATATAACATCAGTTAGGCATTCAAAATATCTCAACTTATAGAGAGGTGTGTCAGTGATGGATTTTTTATTTTTTGAGAACAGTGATGGATTTTTCAAGGTTTAAAGGGTGCGAATATCTCTATAGAGGGAGATGATATCTTAAGCAGATTATTGGTGAAGCAGAATGCCGCAGCCTCTACTCCAGTAATTGATACTTCAGAATATCAACTCAAATATCCAGCAATGGTATTCAACTTTTTGGTAGGCATAGTGTGATAGACTTAAGGTACTAGCATAGTCGTATATACTGTTTAGTGTGAGAGGAATATATGGAAAATATATAGATGTGATGCTCCAATGGCCGGGGCCAACTTGAAATATCTGCTGAAAAGAATACGATGAACCCTGTGAACATCAAAATCAAGAAAAAAGAATCACCCTCTGATTCTTGTCGTTGTCGTCTAAAACAATTGAGGTGTCAGTCCTTGAACTAGCATCTGCCATCACTAGGCCTCAAGAGCATCGATCGCCAGGAGACAGCAAATCACTTTGCTCTCTCCTTTCCAGTTGCAAGGTGACGAGCGGTCTAGTGTTTCACAGGATTGACCGATGCCGGAAACTATTCATTCAGTCGAAAAAGAAGATTACTTTGTTAATAAATCATCAGTAGCTTTGTACTAGCTGGGATCTCACCTCATACAAGTAATGACACACAGTACATACACACTTTGGCAGCTTACTTGTTTCCAAGACGGTAGTACGATCTCAGGATTCAGTGCAATCATATGACCTGCAGGGAGAAAAGGGACCCCTTCTATATTAGGAAACTTAAGTACGATTCCAAAGTTTACACATGGGTACAAAAAGGAAACACGCGTGCAGGTTGGTGTACTCGTGTGGATACGAAGGAAGCCCCAGCAAGCGGAGGGGGCAATCACCGAGCCGGACCACACAGCAACTAGCGCGATGCTACAGCTACCACCACCAGTGGCAGTCACTGCACGGGGGAGACGTGGGGCACCGTGCTGGGGCAGGGCATAAGGGGATACGGTTGAATTGAAATCCCTCTTTACAAAATTACCGTGTGAGAAATCCCTGCTGTTTCTGAGCGAGAAGAAATCCACTGCTGTTACTAGGCTACCAACCGCGCAGCAACAGGAATCGCAAATTGGACGGAGGTGAGGGTGGGGGTGGGGGTGGGGGGCTCGCACGGAAGAACGAGCGCAGACCCCACAGAGCAACTCTAACAGTTAGGCTGGCTAGAAGAACAATCCATCCAACTGCAAGGTGGAAGCAAGCTAGGGCGTCCTTACCGAGAAGGAGAAGCGAGGACACCAACTGGAGTCAGTCTAGACGGATCTGCACGAAGGAGAGGGCACGGACGAATTGACTCGAATGGAGCGTGCTTCGTAACGGCGGAAAGAGAATCTGGCATGTGCGCGGCGGCGGGCGCGAGGGCTGGCTGGAGCTGCCGTCCGTTGGGGAGGTCGCAGCCGTGGAAGCTGCGTCGGACGGCCGAATCCGGCGGTCGTACCGAGGGCGGGGCGGGCGGCAGGGCCAGAGACGACACCTGCCTGGCTGGCGGCGCTGCGGGCGGAGGAGCCGCGGCGATTTGGAACCGCAACCGGATGAGAGGGAAGCTTCCAGAAGCCGCTGTGCCTCTCCTCTTGGCTTGGTTGTGGTGCTGGTGGAGGCTCTGCGCTGCAGGGGAAGCAAGGCAAGTCGCCGAGAGAGAACAAGAAAGTGGTGGCGGCCGTGGACTCGGCGCACGGGGGTCAGGTGGGCGGGGTGTTCGAGTGGCGTGGCGTGGTGAGATGGGACTCCCTCCACTCGCTGGATTAGGTGGGTCGCCTTCGCCTCTCGCCGCTCGCTTTCCTCACCAACCAACTCCGCCGCAGGCCCGCAGTGTGGTGCGGTGTTTCGTCTCCCTTCCGATCAGCCGAGGGCCATCGTCAAGTCAAGGGCCTGGGCGGCTGGCCGTTTTCGGCGGCTAATAATAAACGGATATGAATGAAAGCGATTGGCCGTTTGCGCAGCCAAGCCAAGCCAAAGCCCAAAGGTGGAAGGATGACTGCACGCCAACGCCAGCCAGCGCTTGCCGCGAAAGCTGTGAGAGCCTTCCTTACCTGCCGTGGACAAATGCCTCGCCAACGTTAACGTCGTCACGGGTTGAAGCAAGAAGACAATAGGTTTTTTTCCTTGATGAATGAAAAAAATACGGTCACCACAACTAGACAATACAAACTATAGCTATGAATTATTCCAATTAATTACAGAAAAAACATAGATCTAAAGCTACAGCAAAAACTTTATACTAAAACATACTATATTATATATTCACTGTGTAGATCTACTTATGTGGAGTCCAACAAAATTGAATTTTTCATTTTATGATTTTTCTGTGATTTACTATGATTTTTCAAAGATTTAGCTGAAATAAATAAAAAAAAGATAAAGATAAAATCGCCTTTAAAACCGTTTATAACCGGGCCAGAAGGGTAAGATGGACGGTTTTAAAAATTAAGTGAGGTGTTTTGTTTAGTTTTACAGTTCAGGAGGATAAACGGATTTTCACGAAAGCTGAGGAGGTAATATGGGCTTTTTTCTCTGGGAGATCAATGAAGCAGCATGTTGGGCCGGGCGTCTTAGTAGGCCTGAAGCCTGCACGCACACCAGTCATGGTGATCGATTAGGCTGCGTGCGCGTCCAGACAAACAGTAACGACCGGCCGGCCCACCGGGCACCCTAGTGACCGTCCAGCCGACCCAGCCGTACTTGGGCCCGTTCCATTCAATCTGTTCCTGCATGCACCGTGCTTACTCGTTCACTGCTGGATATTAATTGTTAAATAAGCGATATAGTGCAACAGGTCACAACGGGGGTGTAGCTCATGTGGTAGAGCGCATGCGAGCGGCACTCCACCTGTTCCACAGTTTTATTTAAGGGATACAGTGCCCGTGCTAACGCCACGATTTTATTTCAGGGATACACATGAAAGTCCCGCAACTCCACACATGAAAACAACACTATGATATTTTTTTCATAGTTCCATTTCACACAATTGTATAAGACCATATATTTTATCCAGAAAACACTCTCGCCTCAACAATCTAATTTACAATCTGCATAATACAAGCCCTGCTCATGCCAAGTATCTACTCCACGGTGAACATTTTTTTTAGGTTGCAGTTATAGGCTCATGTTAAATTAAAAAAAAACGTTGCTTAACAGATTTTATGTCAAAGCATCAAGGTGAGACTAAACTTGCACATCTTGCTACACTTCTACTACAGAAAGCATGCATCAAATCTTAGCACAAGAAAATGCTAAGGATATACAAGGAAGCTCATCTAAATGCAAGATATTCTTATGATACATGATGCAAATGCAATGCTAGCTAAAATGGACGGGTTTCAGCTCAAGATCAAGAAGCACTTAGAAGGGTTCAAATAAATTCTTGAAAAAAATTCAAAGAACCCTAGGAAATGGGAACATTTGGGGGAAATCCGAAATCAGAGGTGCTCGTGAGGGCATTGGATGAGTTGATGGCCAAGAAGTATTCTTACATGTCTTAGCACCGATTTGCCCCAAGAAATTTGCCCCAAATCGCATCCAAAACGCAAGAACGAAAAATCCCAAAATAGCTCCAAAAAGGACAGAAAAAGATAAAATTCTGATTTGGAGAAAGGAACAAGTGAAGCATGAATTTGATCCTTGGCTCAAGATGTCAGTTTACAAGCCACTCCTAACTAAATCAAATCTAAGATGGCAAAAAGCTCAAGAACAAGAGCCACTTCTCTCTCTAACCCTAGCCTCCTCTCAACATCACACAAATGAGAGAGAGGATAGCTGCCCAACCAGCCCCTTCACATATATATTCATAGCAGATAGTTCCATTAGAAAATTTGAAACCCCTTCACACAGATAGTTCCATTAGGAAATTCGAAATTCATCTTTAGTCAAAATTCATCATTGTCTTCATTCAAATCCTGCATCATTTTTTGTTAAAAAAAACAGGAAACCATATTCTGAATATAATCACTAAACAGGAGCAAATAAACTTTTAGGGAGGCTGAATACTTTAACCATGTGGAGAAATCCAAAAAAAACTCAAGCGGAGCACCTAATATTTTTCCAGCAATCTTGTCCAATCAAGCAACACTTGCTTTGTCTCTGAACCAAAATGGTAAAGCAGAGTTACTGGCAGACCACCGGAGAACTTCTACTTCCTTTTTCGTGGATAACATATTGAAAATTAAAGGTGGATCCTTAAACCAGGGTCTATATCTGGAATGTTTTACGGAATTCTTAACTGTATATTGAAGAATGGCATGCAATTTTTATTTGGTACAATCATACAGTTCCCATTCAGGTATCAATGTATCTGATGCAAGCAGATATATTTTTGTAAGGAAAAAACTGCTCTATGTGGAACTTTCTTCCTTTTCTATCTTTTTCTGCAAAATAATATTGATAAAGAGACAATATGATCATAGCCTGATTCTTGACAGAACAGAACAACATACTATAAAATGGTAAGCCTTAATTGGAGATAATGGAAATACCTCACCCTCTTTAGCTAGCGCAATTGAATGCCAACCTTCGGCTGTCAACCTACAATTATAAGCTGCAGAAGTAGAACAAGTGAGAAATCAGAAAACCATTGTGATGATAAAATAATCAATTTATGAGAGCAGTGGCGCCCTGATGTTAATAGGATACATCCCAGTCAAACAACCACCAAGTACCTGATGCTCTCTGTTTGCACTATCATACTGAACTTCTATCCCGTTCTGTAACCTCTGTAGGCATTCTTTCTGAAACACGCTAAAGAAAATATGTTAACTATGAATAAAACTTCACTATCCTGCAGTGTACAGTTAAACCCAAATTCATCAAATTAATATACAAATTACTTCCGTTAAAAAGGCACTGAAGTGAATTAACAGTCATAGCAATTTTGACGCAAGTGGTGCAGAAGCAATGCAAGATTCAGAGGAGGGTCTGAAGTTCAGGATGAATTCAGCAGGGGGCCTAAATAGTGAGATATTTCAAGTTGACAGGGTCGAGAATCTGGCACTGCTTCAGAACCGCAAGAGCATACTGGGAATCAAATCAAATCATAAAGAAATAGATGAATCCCACCTCAGGCGTCAAATTGAAGGAGAGGCGCACATCATTGTCCCTCCTCTACGCGCAGACGTAGGAGAGTCCGACGCCGGATACAGGTATGGAGGTACCCCATTGACTTGCCCTTCTCCACCTCCACAAGGCCTCCCTGTGCGTGGAGCACGACCTACATTAGCGCTCCTCCATATCGGCCGCCTTCGCCTAAAGCGTGCTCCACCGCAACAGCCTGGACGACTCGGGTCCGGGGCTGACCCTACTCTTCTTCTCCGTCGCCGTCGCCTCGGTGGGATTCGCGGGCTCGGTCTCCTCAGTGGCGGTGGCAATAGGGACGGCCAGCACGACGCCGTCGGGGCTCGAGTTTAGGGATGGATCGTTCTCGTCCCCGTTGCTGTCCCCGCGCGTCGCTTCTTGGGGCGCCTCCCTGCGGCGTCCCACGGCGAGGTGTGCTGTTGCTGTTGTAGCGCATGCGGCATCGCAGGATACCTAGGGTTTGGGGAGCGGCATCGCGGCGAGGTGTGGCGAGTCTCGGACTAGGAGGAGAGGTGAGAGGAGGATGATGTTTCATTTTTTTTGAAAATTGGTTCTATAGCACCGAAAGTACTTATGTTCGTCACGTAAAATACCACTGAAAGATGTTTGTCACGTAAAATACCGCCGAAAGACACACCGTTACCTCTATCTAGCATTCCGTCACGGTGGGATAGCAATGTCGTGAAATCCACCTCCAAACGCCTGAAAGATGTTGGATCCTGGTCCTCCCCTGTTCGATGTGGAGCGCCAGCACCAGCTCATGCTCCTCCTCGCTGCCGATGGCGGATGCTAGGCGGAATTCCAAAGTTATCACCAGGTCACACGAGGTGGCCGTCGAGGAGTGCGGCAAGCTGGTTATAAGCGAGACACGGTGCGGCGAGTGCGGAGTGGCAGCGACAGCGATGACCTAGCTCGCCGCCCGACATGGGTAAGGACGGACCTCCGGAGGAGGCGGCCAAGGCAAAGAATTTGGCGCCGATGCTGCCATCGTTTGTCGGTGTTCATGCACGCGGACCCGGTGCTCATGGTGCTGGGCCTGGTGGGCGCAATAGGCGACGACATGTCCACGTCCGTGATGCTCTTTATCACTAGCCGCATCTTCAACTTCCTCTCCTCTCCTGCTTCTCGACTACCAGAACACGTGGAATCTCGTCTTCTTGGCGCTCGGCAACTGGGTCATGGCGTTCCAAGGTGAGCCGACCGGTGCCAATGCCGCCGCCGAAGGTTTGCTTGTGCACGCATGTTGGGGGCACGACAGAGCGGCATGCACTGTGCTGATAATTGTGGTCCACGAGTGTGGTCGGCCTCGCGCTCGAGGCGGCCCGTGCGGTGGCGTCGTCCTTGGGCTAGGGGCACACGTAGGGGGTAGCTTCGCTGCCAGCCGTGGCATTACAGGCCAAGAGGCAGCGCAGCGCTCGTTTAGGTGCAGCTGGTGTCCGTTCTCAGCATGCACCACATGCAGAGCTCGTACCCATGGCGATGAGCCCAGCGTGTCATTGCCATGGTCCAGGTCCCGACACTCCACCTCCATGACGTTCTCTTCTGTTCCGTGGCCGTTCTCTGCGGTGCGTGAGTCCATCTCGGAGCTCCAATGTCCTGTAGGATAGCTTCAACTCCCTCGAGAATGCAAGAGCTCGCAAGAACCATGAGCACCATGTCCGTGACGTCCGCGAACACCGACGCGAATGACTGCAGCACCGACGCCAAATTCTTGGCCTTGGTCACCTCCTCCGGAGGTTCGTCCTTACCCATGTCGGCCGGCGAGGTTGTCGCTGTCGCTGCCACTCCGCACTCGCCGCACTGTGTCTCGCTTGTAACCAGCTTGCAGCGCTCCTCGACGACCACCTCGTGCGACCCTGCGACAACTTTGGAATTCTGCCTGAGCATCCGCCGTCGGTAGCGAGGAAGAGCATGAGCTGGTGCTCTGGCGCTCCACATCGAACCGAGGAGGACTAGGAGTAGGACCCAGCATTTGTTTCTATCAGGCGTTTGGAGGTGGATTTCACGATGTTGTTGTGCCACCGTGACAGAATGCTAGATAGAGGTAACGGTGCTGTTTTTCAGTGGTATTTTATGTGACGAACGTCTTTTAATGGTATTTTACGAAAGTGAAGTTCTTTCGGTGCTATTGAACCAATTTTCTCTTCATTTTTTCGAGAAAATGAAAAGGACAAGCCACGAATCGAACATGGCCGATGGGTTGGGGCGGGGGCGTGGCCGCGTGGGGCGTGTTTGAAGCCTCGCGTGATGAGGCGGAGGCACGTGCGGTGAGGCTGCGTGAGAAGCTTGAGGGTGCGGGTTGAGAAGCCAGACATCACACATCGAATAGTGGCCATCAAATTTGGTTGAGATGTTTTATTAGTCTTTAATTTTAATGGAGACGAATTTCTGTGTGTATTTTTCTGAGTGCATAATGGTTATGGACTCTCAGCGGAGGACGTTTTCCTGGGGACCTAGTATAATTTTGGCCACGTTCGCTTCGCTGAAAAAACAAGCTGAAACACTGTTTCGGCTGATTTGTTGTGAGAGAAAAACATTATTTCGACTGAAAAAATAAGCTGAAAAGTACGGATTATAAGAGAAACGAATAGGGCCTTTGATTGGTCCATTTAGTAGAGACTAGCTCTTTTGTTGATCTGTGATCGGTCGCTTGTGAACAAGCACTCACTAAGGCTGCCTCAGGTTCAACCCATTTGTCGCTTGTGAACAAGCACTCACTAACGTGCCTCACACTCAACCCATTTGCTTGATTGTGATCGTATAAACTTGGCATTGTCAAATTTTTAAACCCCAGCAAGTTTTGTTTCCACTAATGTATTAGTTAGCTGCAAGACTAACTCGACGTGGACCCAAACGGGTTTGGCTAATATACTAGCAAATCAAGGTAATAGAACAACTAATTATTATGCTAGTCTCAATGGGAGTTTCATGCCCATTAAATAAGCTTATGTGGTATAGTTTAAATGAAGGAAGATATGAAAATAGTTTTATGGGATGAAATGAGTTTCATGGGGATAAAATGAGTTTCATTCCAACTTAAGGGAGTCTTCAAAACAGAGCCATAAAACTTTCACTGAGACTGACCTTAGTGTTTTTTAAACTAAATTTAGCTAAAATAGTTCATAAAAAGATGTTATTGCCCTTGCCACTATCATGTCCTCGACCACCTTCCTTTTGCCTATCGATGGCACAAGATCCTACCAACAGCGTAGAATCCCTTCCTCACACCGTGGGTGCTCATGGACTGTGACAGAACCGTCTGAGCTAATACCCTCCTAAGAGTACCTGTCTATCATTAGACACCAAGTATCCAGAGGAGCGCACTAATTCAGATTATTTCGTTGAGCACACCCAACGAGAGAACTCAAAAATCCACATATTTCATTAGGATCATAAACGAGAGGATAAAGCTTACAATATTCTTAGCCATTTCTTACATTACTTTATTACAATATTATATTACTTAAATAAGTTGAATGCAACAACAGAAATTAAGCATATGATCAGAGTTATAGCAGAAACAAAGATTTATCTAATAACATGGTGAAGCATTAATGTAGTGGACATTTCTATACAAGATATGCTAGCATATTTTACATCTTTTCTTATGAAAACCTTTAGTAAGGGTTATAAATAAATACTACTATCGCAGCGTGAAAGGAATCTTCTCTGAGCCCATCAGAAGGTTTTCACACACAAAAGTCAGCTCTAGTATCCACCTGTCACCTGCAACAGGGGGAATAAAACACTGAGTACTCGATTATACTTAGCAAGACTTACCCGATAGGATAAAAATAAAAGACTCTAAGGATATGCAAGGCTTATTTGTCTTGCTAGTTTATTACATTTGCAGGAAGCATTACTAATGGTACATCCTTATATTCAAAGTTTTTAGCAGTTATTTTTAGTTAATTAGCTAATCATTCTAAGTAAGCATCTAAGCTACTTTCAAACATATGGTATGCAATCAGAACCATTTTATCATCTTTCATATTCCAGTTTTTACTATGGTGCTAGACCATAGTCAAGTCGGTACCATCTCAAAAGAAACGGTGATTTGTGAATCAATGTATCCCAGCTGGGTACCCCGAAACACACGCTTCGCTTGCGCACTAGGCATAAACAAGGCCAACCCGTTCCACTCCTGTCACGGGGTCCAGGTCCCTGTCCAAACTTGGACTCCAAGCCCCCAACACCTGAGACCCGATCTCAGTATGGTGTTTAGACCTCTACCTAGTACCCACCCCTAAAACCCGGTTCGAAAAGAGACAGAACCCATGACAAGAGAGTAACAAGTCTTTCCGCTCTCATAAGCAAGTATGTGCTTAGGATAATAAGTCTATTACTGTTTACACCAAAATTTCAAAAGAACAATGCGGAAACTCAAAGCTTTCAGGATTATGTCATCAAGGAATCGATTAGATATGAATCGGTATCAGCTGATTTAGATGCGATGTAAGAATCGACTATTTTATAGATGACGTCAGCAGATGGCGTCAATAGTCTATGCTTGAATGGCGTTAGGAAGATGTGTCAGACTCTACAAATAAGGAAAATTAGGATCCAAGTTATTATTAAGTGAGGAAGTTTTCTTTTATTCCAAGAATTGTAATGAGTCGTATTTGAGTATGATTCATATTTAGGTTCCGGATATAAATATTTGACCCTGGTTATTGTAAAAAAAATAAACACTCAATCAATACAATCTTTCCGGCTTTCGCCATCACATTAGGAGTAAGAGTACTGTAGATCTCGACGAGTTCTTTAGCAAACAGGGCTGCATCGACTGATCGACCTCTAGCTTGCTTGTGAGTACCGTCACGACTTGTATTGCGCTTGTAAAGCTGCATCAGCTGATTGATCTTTTATGAGCCATAATATAAGTTAGTTATCGATTTGTATCATAGTTGGTAAGGCTGCATCAGCTGATTTATCTCTTACGAATCATAATATAGATCAAAGTTATCGATCTTGTGTTAAATAACTCGTTGTTTAATACAATATCACCAGTTATCGAATCTGCTAAGATTAGTAAGATTTTCCTTATTGTTTTTGGTTGATTCATCAGTTATCGATCTTGTTATAATTAATATTTTATTAATTATAACAAATCACCTGATTGAAATAGAGATAGATCGGCATCATATCATCTTAATTGGTCATCCTTTGATCTGTCACGCTTTAAATCTTATAATTGATGGCTTAATTCCGCTAGATCGGCTGTTTTATCTTTATTCCAATCAAACATAGTATGCATCCAAAGACATGTTTCAATCTTGAATAAACTCACTAGTTAATGAAATCTAATCTAATAACACTACCATAGCTACATCGATCCGGTCGAACCCCTCACTGGTAAGACTTTAGATTAGAAATTATCAATTAGTGGTCTTGTTCATGATCAAGATATGTCCTATATTTGTTTGCCATGACTGCATCGGCTATTTTAGCTGATTTCCCTATACTCTCACGTATATAGCATGTTTTCATGAATCTGTCAACATATAGATGGTTTTATATATTCTTTAGCTTTAGTTTATTATCATTACCACAGCTCATCGATCCGATCAAACCTCACTGCTGATAATAATATATTAGATTCAAACTGTTTATAGATTCATTTATATTAGACAGTCGATTTGTTCGCATGTTATACGCTTTTTATCAAACTTATCGGCTTGACGCTTTATATCGATCATGTTCCATTTAGCCGATGATGCTTTCTTATATCGCTTCTTTGTTGATTATCAATTCTCTAATCGATCAATGACACCAATCGACTATTTGGTCATATATATTAGAATTTTAAGGAAAGATCTTCTAATTTTGTATTTTGGTGTATTGTACTTGTTTTTGTCTAGATTAATCAGTGATCATAAATCTGATATGATCCATGAGCATTGGTTATTTTGATTCATATCATTATTATTTAATATTAGCCGATAATCCTTGATTTAAAGATCTTCATTTAATAGATACGCCAGATATCCACTATTTAGTCGATAGCCTTATTGAATCGGCTATCTAACCGTACATTTAGAACTGTCTGTGCAACCCTGACATGTTCCATCTTAAATTACTGATAAGATTTTCTCTCATTGTTAATTACAGGTCAAATTGACTAGCACGTTGTTGAGTTTTTAGAATTGGCTGGTTCTGTGTTAAAGCCAACCAGATCTCTGGTCTCGTTCCACTCAGATTCTCCGGCTTGCTCTGTGTTGATCACATCACCATATTTTTGTGTCAACAGTGATCTGACTATCATCCACAGCAATGGATGGTCCTCAATCGACTCAGATGGGACAAATGCAACTGGAGCCTCGCTCAGATGCCTAATCAAGTCCAAATCCAATGTACAATCTTGTCCGGTCTCCAATTATCATCCATATATATTTCATGTGATAGTAATATGATAAGAACAAGAATAATATTTTTCCTATCTCTTGCGAGTGACAGGTAATCACTCAACTTCTACTAGGGTCCTATAGCATAACAGCTACATGATCCTACCATACTAGTAAGACTCATAGGATAATGATATATGTATACAAGTGGGTTTCATTCAACTCCTTAAAAGTTAATGCACAAGCCTAAAATAAAGTATAGAATAATAGGGGTTATGCACCAGGGTTGCCTGGGTAAGATATAACCAAAGGTTAGCACTCTATCGTGGTGGTACGATCATCAAGGCACCATCTTTTCTGCTTCTCCGGTCGACTCCATGATCCATCATTATTCCTATTATGATATACGTGGATACAACGCAGAGACGTAATTAATCAACGGCAACCGCAACTCTTAAAATATGTTTACGTCTCTCACGCTAACGAGCTAGCTCAAATGACTAATGTACTAGGCCATGTATCCATGTTGTCGAATAAGGCGTTATTTTCTAACAAGTGTTTTAGCTTTAGACTTTCAAGGTGTTTCTTTATTTT